AATTATAATGTTTTAGCGCTAAAATTAGCGGATACTTGTTTGAAGCAGCCGCGTGGTTCCTAGTTTCTGCCGGAATCGCTCTCGTCGGGTCCTTCTGGTTCCGTGTCTGGGAGGAGCACGGCGGTGTGATTTCCAGGGAGTTTACTTTGCCAAAATGCAGGTTGGTACTACGTTTTTGAGTCTTCAAAACCTTTGTTTCACATTGACCATTGAGGCAGCGTACTGTGTTAATTTTTTTCTGACATTTTTAACCAGAGTTAGTTACTGAGTTAGCAACGTAGCATCCGGTCGTGTCAGCTGTCTGATTTCCTCTTTTGGGATTATGTTTTTCTATTAAACTAGTAAATCAGCTATTAATTTAGATCCAAATCAGGGGTCTGGAAATTCCAGTATTTCGTCCAAATATGATTAAATATGTAGTTTATTTATGCTTCGTGTTCTTCCAAGGACCCAAATGAAGACACAGAGTGGAATGACATCCTCAGGAAAAAAGGGATCCTTCCTCCCAAAGAGATCCCCAAAGAGGAGGAAGAGGAGGACGTGACCCTCCAGCAGCAGTCTGTTGGTAAGAGCAAAAAAGATGATCTACTGCCGCTTTGGATTAGTTAGTTTCGAGCCTATTGGGCCAAAAAGATTGCTGGATTATTTGCAGGATGGCTGATTCTAATGTTGTTGTTGTTCTGAAATAAACGTTTAAAGTTAAGACCTACGAGAGCATGACTCTGGAGGAGCTGGAGGAGAACGAAGACGAGTTCAGCGAGGACGACGAAGCGGCCATCGAGATGTACAGGTGAGCGGAGGCAGAGAGGAACAATGGTGCCAGTTGCCAGCCATCTTTTCCCTGAGCTGTGTCTCCCCCCCACCAGACAGAAACGTTTGGCCGAGTGGAAGGCGACCCAGATGAAGAACGTGTTCGGGGAGATGACGGAAATCTCCGGGCAGGACTACATCCAGGAGGTCAACAAGGCCGGGGAAGGCATCTGGGTGGTGCTGCACCTCTACAAGCCCGGGTAACGTTCTTTTTTATTTTATTTTATTTTTTTTACTGTGTATTATTTATTTGCTCATCAGGAGATCACACATATATTGATGTTACATACATTGTACAAAGCTTACGTGACTACTCTGATTTTTTTTTTTCTTTTTTACAGTTTTTTTTTTTTTTCCCCTTCCCTCTTTCTTCTCCCCTTTCCCCCTTCTTTCCCTCTTCCCTTCCCTTTCCCCGTAGCGAACATAAATCCCTGTATTAACATAACAAAAACAGGACCAAATAAGTATAATTACAATTGAAAAAATAAAAAGAATACATTAACAACCAAAAAATAAATAAATTAATTTAAACAAAAATAAATAAATAAAACAAATAAAAAATAGGGGTGGATTGGAGGGGGGGGGGTTGGACGGAATTGAGAAGCTAAAAGGCAACAACTCTTCACTCAATTATTCTGTAAATTTAAGTCACATGACATGAAGGGTCAATCACATCTATCTATACATTATAAAGGCAGAGATTTTATGTATGTCATAAGCGGTGCCCACTTGTGAGTAAATCCGGGGGGGTCTTTTTAGTCAAAAGAACCAAAGTGAGTCACGCTGTTAGCAGAGTCTCTTACGCAGCTTTTCGTGTAGCCATTTAAGACACACTCAGTCTGAAATTGCTTTTCGCGTGACCACCTTTCACTCACGGGCACACTCATTTATTACCACACATTGATTATCTCGTCACGTGAGCATGTAAGTGTGAAGTCATCTTTACCACAGAAACGATTAACAATAAACATAAACTATAACGAGAGCACAGCTCAACACCCCCACTTGCTCACATTTCATAACATTGTCAATAACACAAATTCAGCCTTATAAACCCAAAACTTAGAATTCTTAATAAGACGTTCTTGTACAGTCATTTCATACTTTACCAAAAAGAAAACCATTAAACATTGACATTTTTGATTTGGTCGCTGGTTTGGTCCCAGAGTGGATAAACGACCAGTCGCTTTTTATTAAGACCGTCTATGTGTGGTAGGCTATTTGCAAAAAACGTGTATTGGCGGGTAGCAGAAAATGCAGATCCAGACTCCAGATCCAGTTTTATTTTAAGTCGGTAATATCCCTAATATGCCGTACTGGAATCAACTATCTGATTTATCCAAAGCAAATTCTTATTAGAACGTTTGTTTTGGATAAATCAGACAGTTTTGATCTAAAACGACTAAAAAAGTTCCTCATCTAATTTCACACTAAGTCTGAATCTGCACACAACCATTAAGTCGCCTCTCAACCAGAGTTTTTAAGTCGTTTTCTCTCTCAATTTACAGTTATGTGACAATTAAAATAATAATATTACATGTAGATTTTTACTTAAACTATCGAAAGAACGTCCTTCAGATCGGCAGCCGATATTTGCAAAAAAAACTGTGTATCGGCCAGCAGGAGAAAATGCAGATCCAGACTCCAGATCCAGTTTTTTTTAAAAGTCCGATCCCATACGAGCATTAGCATTAGCATCTGCTAACCCACAGTTCTGTGTCCTAACCATTAAGTTGTTATCAGAGTAAATCCCTGTTCAACATGAGTCTGACAACTAAGTAAGTAGATAAATAACTTTAGACTTTAACACATGCTCTGATAGGCCGGGATCGGCATCAGATCGGAAGGGAAAAAAGCTGGATCGGGACGTCCTTAATGTGTGGTTGATTTAGTGTTTTCCTGCTTGGATTTGGTTTTAAACAGCTCTATTTTTTATCTGACTCTGTCTCTGCATCAGCATCCCTCTGTGCACCCTCATCAACCAGCACCTCGGCTCGCTGGCCAGGAAGTTCCCCCAGACCAAGTTCCTCAAGTCCATCTCCACCACCTGCATCGCCAACTACCCCGACCGCAACCTGCCCACCATCTTCGTGTACTTCGAGGGGGAGATGAAGGCCCAGTTCATCGGCCCGCTGGTGTTCGGGGGCATGAACCTCAAAGTTGAAGGTGAGTGTTGGCTGAATGTCTTAAAAACACTTTCAGACCTTTAGGGCTTTGACCTAAAGCCTCTGAGTGGATCAGAGTTTCCCAACATGGCTGTGGTTTCCTGAACTGGTGCAAAGAAGCAGGAAAACCCTTGATTTTGGGTCATGGTGGTTAGTTTGGATCTAAATAAACGTAGATAAATACATTATTTGTCATCCAAAAAGGCAAACGAGTCATACACTGATTCAAACAGGTCTGTAAAGCATCTCATTGAAATGAGACCTGATCCATATTCTGCAGAAAGCAGCAACCAAAGACCCTGAAAAATCTACATATATTGTTATTATTTTCATTTTCACATAACTGTAAATTGAGAGAAAACGACTTAAAAACTCTGGTTGAGAAGCGACTTAATGGTTGTGTGCAGATTCAGACTTAGTGTGAAATTAGCTGAGGAACTTTTTTAGTAGTTTTAGGTCAAAACTATCTGATTTATCCAAAACAAACATCCTAATAAGAATTTGTTTTGGATAAATCAGATATTAGGGATGTCCCGATCCCGGCCTATCAGAGCATGTGTTAAAGTCTAAAGTTATTTATCTACTTACTTAGTTGTCAGACTCATGTTGAACCAGGATTTACTCTGATAACAACTTAATGGTTAGGACACAGACCTGTGGGTTAGGAGATGCTAATGCTCGTGTGAAATTAGATGTGGAACTCTTTTAGTAGTTTTAGGTCAAAACTATCTGATTTATCCAAAACAAACATTCTAATAAGAATTTATTTAGGATAAATCAGATATTAGGGATGTCCCGATCCGGCCTTCACTTCCGATGTTAACCAGAGATTTACTCTGATAACAACTTAATGGTTAGGACACAGACCTGTGGGTTACAGATGCTAATGCTAATGCGGGATCTGACTTTAAAACAAAAAACTGGATTTTTGGAGTCTGGATCTGGATTTTCTCCTACAATATTTTGCGATCTGACCCCTCCAGAGCTGGAGTGGCGGCTGTCGGAGAGCGGGGCGGTGAAGACCGACCTGGAGGAAAACCCCCGGAAGCAAATCGAGGACAAGCTGATGTCGTCCATCAGGGGCTCGCTGCCGGCGCGGGGGGGGGGCGGCTCCGAGGACGAGGACGACTAACCGGGACCGGGACCAGAGACCCCCCATCAACCCGCTCCCACCTTTTAAAAACCGTCTGAGCTGGTGGGCGGAGCCAAAGGGCAGCTGGAGGCCTCAGGGAAGGGAATAACACATATCACCCCCCCCCACAAACCCCCCCAAACCTCTAATGGCCGCCTCACAGCAAAGCGGCCGGACAGCCAGACTCTCGTCCTTTTATCGATTAAAAACACCAAACCGTCTCCTTCCAAAACCATCAAAGACAAACATTTACTTTTTTTTTTATTACGTCACATGGTCATTATGTCACAGAATGTACAGGTGCTGTAAAGTCTGCTTTGATTAAAGGTGCCACGACAAAAAGCTCCCTTTTCGGATTTTTTTCTGTTCGGGGAAGTCGGCTAAAGCAGTGTTTTTCAACCACTGTGCCTTAGTGATGGTCAGGTGTGCCGTAGAAAATCATCCTATTTCACCTCATTGGTCTAAAAATACTTTTTGATAAGGAATTAATTATCTGCAAATAATATGCCATTTTTGAGTGTCTGTGCTGTTCTAGTGACTGGTGGAGTAATCACGTAATAATTCCTTATGACTAGATTTTGTATATAATTTTGCATATTGAAGTGGACATGTTAAGTGCAATTTGAAAGAAGAAATATAAAATATGATAAAAATACATTTTTGTTTATTTGATTCCTATTCAACACACTTCCGATAAGATAATAAAATAAGAATAACTAAAGTGTTACTATAGGCGGCTACAGATTTGTTTGACATTTTTGGTTGGTGGTGTGCCTCGTGATTTTTTTCAATGAAAAAATGTACCTTTGGCTCAAAAAAGGTTGAAAAACACTGGGCTAAAGACTCGATGTGGTGCGTTCGGGTGCCGTCGGGGTTTCGGGCGGCCGTCCAGATCCCGAAAAGATCCCGTCCAGGTCCAGCTGGGAGCGTTTGGGCGGAGGCTCGTTTCCAGCCGGGGGGGTGACTCCATTCCTCTGTTTTTTGTGGGTTTTTCCCTTTACAGCATCCCCTCCGGCAGGCCTCTGATCTTCTGTTTAATTAGCGGGAGACAGAAGCGAGAGCGGAAGTCAGAGAGCAGCTAATCGAAACCGGAGCGGCCTGATGCATTACGGCTGCTTTTCCTAAAAAGGTTAAACATTCGATGAGAGGGAGGAGGCAGACACCGGGCTTAAAGGAGACATATTATACCCTATTTCAACAAGTTAAGCTAGTTCCCTGGTGTCCTAATGTAATGTCTGTGACCAACTTTGGTCAAAATCCCATAAGGATGAAGCCCAATAGCAGTTCAGTCCCCCTGCCTAACCCTAACCCTAACTCTAACCCTAACCCAAAACAACAGGAGGTGTGCCCACGTCGGCACGCTAACGCTGCCATGCTAACGCTACCATGCTAGCGCTACCATGCTAACGCTCACGCTACCAGGACGTCTCCACAGATAGGGGAGTAAGCTGAGGGGGGGGGGCAACATGCAGGTGAAAGGCTGGAATATTATAATGAGCTAGAGCTAATGACGTCAGAAACTACCCACTCCTGAAACCTCCTGATTTATCTCCTGGATTCAGACTGAGGCGGCCCACAAAAACATGACTGAGTCATTTTTTTTCACACTTTGCCTGCTGATAGGCCCTCCACAGTCCCAAATGTACATAATTGGATGATTAAAAACTTGGTTTTGCGTAATATTTCCCCTTTAAAGAACACCTCTGACCACAGGCTGGACTTTTCCAGCCTGAGCTGAGCAGATGCTAACCGCTAACAGCCTTCCTTTGAACGCCAACGGCCCCAAACGTGTTGGAAACTCTTTTAAATATTGGCTTGTTTCTCCAAAATTAAGCGGCCCGAGTGGGAGATCGTGCCTCAAAACCCTCCAAAGGAGAAAGTTTTAGCTTTCAGCTGCCGTAATTCCACGGCTGGAAACTCTGTAAACCTTTTCCTCATCTTAAAAAAAAACAAAGCGTGCTTTAAGTTTCTCACCAGGAGGAGGACCTTCTTCTTCCTCCTCTGGGACAGTTTGGGGGAAAGCCGCAGCAGAGGGTGGACCGAGTGGGACTGGGGGAGGAAAACGGGTTATTTCAGAGGCTTTTTGACAGTTTTATGAAGAAAAATACAGTTTGAGTTTCACATGAACTGGAATATTAGACTAAATCGACCCCAAAATGGGCGTTTTGACCCAGTTTTGGGTTTTTTTTAAAGCGGCTTTACCCACCTGTTGCTGCACAGCTCCGATGGAGTTACGCGCTTTGGAGTAATGGAACAAGAACTGAAACAGAGGAGGGCTAAAGTTAATGAGCTGCCGGTGAGAACATCAGAAGAGACGGACAAAAGGAGGCAAACCTACTCTCTTGAATATGTTCTGGACTTCCTCCTGTTGGGGGGGAAACACAATCCCAGGTTAGTGTCAGGGATCTGGGATCATTTACACAGACTCAGAGAAGATTTGGCTGTTTCTACACTTTGTGTTGAAAGTGAAACCTCGTTTTTATTCAGGTTTTTGGGTTGTTGTTTTTTTTAGCTTTGATGCTCGGAAAATGCATAACAGGGGGCAGAAAACTACACAAAAAAAATCTTGACTTATCGCATAGTAATAAATTATTTATATCGAAAATGTTTTTCTGTTTTTTCTTTTTACATATTTAGTTAAAAGGCCAAATAAGGAATTCAAACAAAAAAAAAAGTAATTTTCTGTTTTGTTTTATTCTTGGTTAAACCTAAAAAATAAAAATAAAATCTGCATTTATGCTATAACAGACTAAGCCTCCCCTTCAAATCTTGGTTTGCTTTTCCTTTCTTCTTTTTTTGGTGAGTAACCAGACATTTGAATACAGTACCTGCCTTCCCTTTTGTTAGCATTTCCCTCAATGGGGTCGGGTCACTCACAATCTGTATTATGGCCTAAAATACTCCTCATCATATAGTAAAAACATGAGTTTTTTAATCCCGAGGTCGCGTCTCTGGCCTCAGAGTGGAGATTTAGACCATCCAAACTGTCTTTAAGAGTGTTTGTAAACAGGATTAAATAGTCAAATCAGAAACCTGCCAGCCCTAACGCTGACTCAGCAGATTCAGAGTTTGGTGGGAGAGGAGGCCCACCTGGTTCTGGTCTCCCCACAGCACGTCCCTCACATCCTCACTCTGGACGTCTCGCACCTGTGGACAGACACGCTCCCTCAAAATCAACACACAAAAAAAAAAAAAACAGCCCGAGGCCAAAGGAGAGGCGGATCTTTTCCGGAAAAAGCCTCCAGCTGTGATCCGTCTTTAACTCATTGGCTGCCAAAGACGTCTATAGACGTCTTTTATGTTTTTCAACGAGAGTGGCTGGGGGACGATCTGCTAAAGCTTGTCCGTAAATATCAGGCTTCTAGACAGAGTATGTAGTAACAAATTGACCCTCTAGGTGGCAGTGCCACTTTTGATGGGAGATGAGCATAGACTGTAGGCAAATAAGAAAAAGGTAACGGTTCGCTATGAGAGAACATGTCGCCGGTGAGACGCAAGTCCAGGAAGAACGGAATAAGGTAGAAACACATTTGTTTTTCCTGATGAAAGAAGAGAGTCTACTCTTTCTTTTGGTGTGTTCGGTGTTTACATAGTCATAGCACAAACTATTCTGTGGCTCTTGAAAAATCAGTCAAAATGCTCAAAAAACTCTGGCAGTATGGGACTCTCTGTTCTGAAAATGGCTGGCAGTCAATGAGTTAATCGCTGCTAACACCCTCCAACTTTTGGGTTTTTTGGACCACAGGAGAGGACGAGATCGGGGCCTCAATGGGGATCTGAATGTGGAAAAAGGGGGCGTTTCTCTACCTTTGGAAACACTATTCCCTCCTCCCACTGGTCGAAGGGCCGGGCATCTGGAAGGAGAGCACAAACCTCAGGACAGGCAGGTATTCCCTGATCCACATTTTAAATAACAGAGAACTCACTTTAGTCATCTGGATTTTGTCCTCTATGATAAACTGAATCATAACCAGACAGTGGACAAGCCTTAAATCCAGAGAAAAGACTTAGAATGAGCTCAAAAAGGTGTTTTTTCTGACCCCCAGTGGTCACAATTATAACCTCCTGAGCTTCTTTGAGCGCTGGTGTTATATAAGATGGAAATAATTTGTTTTTTTCTGCTGGATCCTGTTCTCAAACCGTTTCTCACCTCTAAGATTTAAAAAAAATGGATCGATTGTTTTTTGTTTGTCCTTTTAAACTGCAGATATTTGAGCCTTCCTGATACTTTTGGAGTGCATAGTAGCTTTTTCTCCTGTGGTAAAACATTCAGACTAAAGTCAAACTTGACATAAAAGCTTTTTTGGGGGGCATCTTTTAGCTTTAGATTCTGAAATTTGGGAAACACTAAAAATCTCCACAACGCCATGTTTGCTTATGTTATCAAGATAATGATCCATTTTATTTGGAGCTCTTTATAGGCTCCTGTTAGCGTCAGATATTGATTCCCAGTGTCTGAGTCAGGATGGATAGCTGGTCAGCTCAATGAGGATCAGGGATTTTTCAAACCCAGATCTTAATCTTATTGATTTGTCATTAAAAACCACTGAAGCTCCTCAAGATATCAAACCACCGGCCACAGAGTCTGCCCAATGAAATGTAAGTTTTTAACCATTTAAAATGATCTTTTAAAACATTTATATCCTCACATAGACGTGGTTTTAAACACTGGACTGGGAGACGTGGAGAATAAGGTCTTGCTGGCTCTCGTGCGTCATGGAAACGGTGGGCATCATCACCCTGGATGTCTTCTTATCTTATCTGAAACCTCTCCGCCTCTGGATTAAGGTACAGGGAGGCTGGAGCAGTTTACTTTTAAACTCAAGTCAGTCACAGAGTAATGTTAGCTGTCAATCTCACCCACTATTTTGGTCAAGAAAATTGAGTCTGAAGTATGTTACTAAAAGCATTCAAATGACTGTGAGAATCTATCACTGCGTTTTCTGCCATGCAGACAAAACGTTAATTGATGAGATTTGATATTGCTATCTTTATTTAATTTTGTTTAACAGAATCTCAGAGACTGGAGCCCCCATCCACCCCAACAGAAACCGGGCGTGTGTCAAAAATGAACGCATCCAAACTACTCTATTTGGTTAAAATTTCATATATTTTGGAATATTTAATATCTTAAATTCGCCTGTTTCACTGGTTTAAGCATACCTTCACCCCAGAATTAGGATCACCAGCTATGGCGCGTAACTGGACCGTGGACATCATGTCAGACCACCTGAGAGCGCCAAAAATTTACGCATCCAAACGACTCTGTTTGGTTAAAATTTCATATATTTTTCAATATTTAATATTTTAAAAACGCCCCTTTCACTGGTTTAAGAATACCCCCCCACCCCCAAGAATTAGGATCAACAGTTATGGCGCGTAATTGGACCGTGGACATCATGTCAGACCACCTGAGCGCCAAAAATTTACGCATCCAAACTACTCTATTTGGTTAAAATTTCATATATTTTTCAATATTTCATATCTGAAATACGACCGTTTAACTGGTTTAAGAATACCCTCCCCCCCATAATTAGGATTACCAGTTATGGCGCGTAATTGGACCGTGGACATCCTGTCAGACCACCTAAGCGCGCCAAAGATTTACGCATCCAAACGACTCTATTTGGTTACAACTAAATACATTTTGAATATATTTAATATCTTAAAAACGCCAGTTTCTCTAGTTTAAGAATACCCCCCCAGAATTAGGATTACCAGTTATGGTGCGTAATTGGACCGTGGACATCATGTCAGACCACCTGAGCGTGCCAAAAATGTACGGATCCAAACGAACCTGTTTAGTTACAACTGAATATATTTCTAATATATTTAATATCTTAAAAACTCCCGTTTGACTAGTTTAAGAATCTCCAACCACAATAAGGATCACCGATTATGATTTAGCCTTTCTGAGTTCCCACCTGTTGCGCTCCAAGATCCAAAAAACGCCAACAAACACAGGAGGAAAAGTTGCCGCACAGTCCGCAGGGTCATGTCTCTATCGTCCTTTTCTGTCCCGCTCTGTATTTGCTCTGGCACGGCTTGGCACGGCTTGGCTCGGCTCGGATTGGCTCTGTTTGGCGTGGGTCGCTGGTCTGACCTCCTCAGTTACCGGCGGCACTTTAAAAGCGCGCAACTTCTCAGGCTGAAAGGCATCCTCGCGCGCGACCAATCAACCAATCACGTACGGATCCAGTCACCACCGGCGTGCGTAGCTCTAACTCCCCCCCAAGACTCACTCCCCACACGCACGCGCACGCACGCGCACGCTGAGTGTACCGGTTCGTCGTGCGTAATGATCAGTGGGAACATCTGGATGATGTAAAGGAGGTGGCTCACCTCAGGCCGTTTTAGCCTTAATGGTTACACATCCATGATGGAAATCATCTGATGTTTTAACCCTTTAAAGCCTGATCCAAGACAAATAGGAAGAATATTGGATTTGTTTTAGTCTGAAGTCTTTCTTTGGCCCCTCAACAACATATGAAGAAAAAATAACAGGAATTGTTTTGATCAAATGAGCGTGCAATAAGTCAAAAATATATTTTCCTGTAGTCTGAATGTGTCCAACAGGGGTTTGAGCAAAGCTTTTACCACTGAATGATGCAAAAAGTCTCAGATCCAAAAGATTTCAGAAACCGTTTGTATCAAATATGATACATTTGGCATTATAGGGAAAGCTGAAGACTTTTGAGAGGTCAGAAAAGCCTCGAAAAGGGCTTAAAAAGCTTGTTTTGGTTTATTTTCATGGTATTTAGACAGTAATTTTCAGACAGTAGTTTTCATTCCTGGAAGGGGAACCAACCGGACATTTTCATTACCGTCTGTCCAGTTAACCCTTCAAAGCCTGATCTAAGAAAAATAGGAAGAATATTGGATTTTTTTTAGTCTGAAGTATTTCTTTGGCCCCTCAACAACATATGAAGAAAAAAAAAATGAAATTGTTTTGATCAAATTAGCGTGCAATAAGTCAAAAATATATTTTGGTGTAGTCTTCTACTGGCTGTTATCAGGTATATCTGAATGTGTACAACAGGGGTTTGAGCAAAGCTTTTACCACTGAATGATGCTAAAAGTCTCAGATCCAAAAGACTTCAGAAACCGTATGAATCAGATATGACACATTTGGCATTATAGGGTTAAAGGAGGACGCATTTTGGTGTCACATTGTGTGTAACAACAGCTAAAACCGGAGGACTAAAATGTTCGTATATGTGGCTTTTAGTTAAAACACAAAACCAGCTAATGGGGAAATGTATGCGGCTGATCACCAGCCATTAAAATCCATTAAAAATGTACTGATAAAGTAAGAAAAATAAGGGAGACCCTTTTTATTTGTTTATATATTGAATATCTTATCTGGATAATCAGGTTTTTAAATAAGGGAAACACATTAAAATATCAATATTGCTCCTCTGAAATCATTGCTGCAGTCTTTCCTCCTTGGCATTTTGTGGAGCTAAGGATCAATAATCATCGTATTTATCGGCATTTCTGGATTCATCTTTAACTCTGAACTCCTGTAGAAAACTGAAGGCATTGGATTACAGCTGGGTCACATTTTACCATGACATAAAACATTAAATCAGAGTATTTTGAGTCACGTTTAGCAGTGACAGCTTGTCTACCTGCATATAGTGAATATAAACCATCTGATTGGTCACTGAAATTATAATATTCAAGCTTTGAACCGACTACGAGGTCGTGGCATTTCTGGAAACCTCAGATTGTGATACAGGATGTTTCAGTGGACAAAAACAAAGCCCAAAAATCCCTAAATTCAAAATTTGGAATATCAGAAATCAGAGATCTTCTCCATCTCTTGACCAGTTTCAGCCTCAGGCTAAATAAATCACAACTCGTTTTAATCTTAGGACCTAAAACTTTTTGGGACGAATGTAACTAAAAGATGTTGACGTGTTTCGAAAACGTCGGCGAGATAAAAAACAATCAGCGGCTACTGATTAATTCAGTCGATTCAGCCGTGATTCACGGGGATTAACTGCTCCGATCGGGTGGCAGAGCCTCATTCTCACATTTCCTCCCATTCTGTCCTATTATTCTACTCCCACATCTCACCAGGAATGAGTCCGTTTGATACCAAACAGGTGCCATCAGAGCCCTGGATCATCTTGTGATGTGGATTTTAAAAAAAAGTAGTAAATATTTTTTATTTTAGACTCCAAAAACTTCTATTTGATCAGAGAAATCCACAGAGATAATGAAAAAGTTCACTAATTTTTTGCACACAGAGGTGTTTTCTGCTGATAAACAAACTTAACTGGAGTCAGAAAGTTCTGCTTTTCAAGAGAAAAATATCCCATTTGAAAGGATTTTTTTTGTTCCAGATGTGTGAAACAGTCAGCGCATCTGGAAATTTACAAAATTTAATTAAACTCTTGCCACTAACTGAAGGAATTTGATCAATTTTCAGGCTGAAACCTCAAAATAACCCAGAATATGTGTGAGATGGGGGTTATTCTGACAGTGGGGGAAATATTAGAAGGCACATTAGCATTTGTAATAAGGGCAAAGCATCAGATATCTGAATGCTGAGTGTTTGATAGGAGAAAAACTAATGTGGGCGGCACGGAAAAGTGCTTTCCTGATGATTTTATGTTTGTTTTTTTTCCTATTCCGTGGACACAAAGTTCAACAACAAACTCATTTTTCTGAAAACATACAAATTTTAAGTGTTTGGAAGCTTTCAAATAAAGTTCATTTCCGTTCCTGGAAGTCAAAATAGAAATTTCACGTAATGTTTTATTAAAAATACATCACTAATCGTGTTTTAAAGCTGGCCGGTGTTTTCTGAGGTCCATTTCCAGCTCCTCCGAGGCCTAATTTGTCCCTCTCTCCTCACTCACAAAACACATCCCACCTGCCGTTGTCATTCATTTATTTTACATTTAAATGGAAACTCCAACCGGATTATTATCCAGCCGGAGGAGGCAGGTCTATCCCTCACAGGGAAACACAAAGTGCTCATTTCTGTGGCTAACTCAGAGGGACCAGTTAGCTTAGCATCTTCCATATTTGACCCCCCCTTTACGGAACATGGTTCCTGATTTTGGCCCCTGAAGAGACAATATAACTCATACGGGGACTCAATGGAAACCAGTACTGCTTTATTTCTTTTAGAGATTTTTTTGTTTTGTTTTTTGTCGAGAATTCATTTAACCCACAAGAATGTTATAGTTACACAATTTTAATAATCTGTTTAAACTGAAATACTTTTTTTTTAATGGTCCAATGGAACTTTTGGAATTCAGGCTCTTGACATGTTATGGTTCTTCTTGAAAACGTTTGATTTTAAATGGGGTTCATTTGGTCAGTTTTCCGTTCCCTGTCATTTCTCTTTGGGGGAAATCTATCAATCTATCCAATCATCTGTCCATCTATCTATCTATCTATCTATTTTGTTTTGGTACCTTTTCTTACAGTAATATTTTATCAACAGTCAATATTTCTGTTTGTTTGGAGCATCCATTATTTCCCAAACCCCTGTAAGTCGTCCTGTTTTTATCATTTTCATTCAGGATAAGTGTGGATTTTCGTTCATTGTTCATCGTTTGAAAGAGTCAAACAGGAAAAGTGCTCAACAGAAAATGTCTTCCAGTGGCAGAACAGGAAACCAGGTCTATCTATTTATCCAATTGTCTGTCTATCTATCTATCTATCTATCTATCTATCTATCTATCTATCTATCTATCTATCTATCTATCTATCTATCTATCTATCTATCTATCTATCTATCTATCTATCTATCTATCTATCTATCTATCTATCTATCTATCTATCTATCTATCTATCTATCTATCTATCTATCTATCTATCTATCTATCTATCTATCCTGCATTCCTCGGCCTATATTTCCCCATTAGTTTCCCATGATGCATCTCTCTCCCCGTGGAAACATCCGTCCACGTACCCGTGCAGATGTTGGGGCTCCTCGGGAACCCGTTAGGCTGATTGGTTTGTGTATCATGTGGGTTGGGGGGGTGGGGGGGGGGGGGGGGGGGG